AACTTGCGCTGTACCAGCCGAACTATGAGGTCATTCTGATCACTCCAACAAAGGTTATATAATCTGAACCATTAACCCTTTGGTAGATTTCATCTAGTGACTTCGGTTGTTCTATCAAAAATTGGTCCAACTGGAGACCATAAATGCTGATTGATGAATTTACATTACTAATGTGGATTATGTGAGTGATCAAATGGTAAAACGTCAAAGCTATCACTACGATCTTCTAGCTTAGTTAGGAAACATGGTGTCCATACGTGGATCCGGATCTAATGAAGGGTACTAGCCTTCCTCACTCAAATTCGCAAGTAATAAAATATCAAAATTTGCACATGGTACTCCCAATTAAAAATATATGTCAAACTCCGTTGTACCGCTGTATGACTGACCCTAGGAGAGAAGTTCCCGAATAGAATTCACTAGACATGGGATGTCATAAAATGTAACTGCCTTTGTGAAGGATAGATAAATTGCCCCCTCTATATTTCATCTTGTCTCGGCATTGTTTGTTGGGTCAGGTATAAATGATCTGTTTGAGTATTCCAAAAGTAATGTTCCAACCGGGAAAGTGGTGAGTATTTGGTGAGGTTTGAGCCATTTAGCTCATCCCGCCTGAACCAAATATCAGGGGTTGGTAATATCACTTGTGTACATATCACGGATTGTATGCTCACTTGTGTTGTGACCTAGAGCAACCTGGAACAACTGAACACTGATCGACAACTTAGACTTGTCACACGTGCCTTTTGTATGTGCTTAATGTCTTATTGAGATTTAGTTACAGGCAGATAGGCGACCAACACCAGCTTGTAGATCACTCGTGTCTTCAAAATCCGGATTGCCAGTTGGAATAAAAATCGAGTTATGTGCGATCACTTGCGAACGGGAAAACAAATTCATTTAATAACAAATGACATCAATCTGAGATCCGAAAATCAGGTTCGTAGGTGTTTTCACTGACCTGCGATCAATACTGCAATCAACTGGTCATTCATTTCACAGCCCATCAATTTTTCTGTTTTCTTCTGGATAAAATAAAATGCGACGTTTTCAAGCAGTTCGGTTTCACGCAAGCACACATAAATATAAACCATAGTGCAAGTCATCAGTAATCACCCATCTAGCATAGATTTTCATTCTTGTGTTGATTGCTCATCTTTCTCCGTCAACGTTTCTGAGCACGGACAGGCGATCTCAGATTTATAAACATCTTTTATTGAATAACGTGTTCTGTGTGCTTTCCATTCTTCCAGCTAATAGGGGAAAATACACGTCGCATTATCCGGAAGTTCAGTTAATTTGATGAGGTCACTCAAATCATCTAAGGCATTTCCACTCGTTTAATCGTATACGGGATGAAATTGTTAAACTATGTAAATCATTGGCTTATCGAAAGAACGTTAAACGATTTATATAGGAGCAAACATATTTCTTATCAGATGTGCAAAAACGAAAATACAACGGCACTGAATAGTAACATCGGAGTAGTTCGTTAGAGATCGCTCTACGGAATTGAGAATTCCTCGGTGATTTTTACTGCCGTTTAGGCATGGTTTCTTCTATATTTGGTCCGCATACATTTAGTTATATCAGTCGCAGTGTATGTCTGTATCTTGAAAGTTACCTCTGAGCTCCCAAGCAATCTCAACGGACGCTGAAATGACGCTGAAAGCGATAGCTATTTTATGAAACCATGAGTTTTGCTCGGATTATTANGGATTATTATCTCCTCATTCCATGCCCCGGTCTCTGACAGTGCCCTCGAAAGAGGCTGTCTGTTCGTACAGCCGTTTTGTAGATAAAGTTAACTTTATGCGTGTTACCCTGTCATAGATAGGCAACGGCCACTCAATAGGTGGCTCAACAGGTCGGGCTTCAGCTGGCTGAGGGATTCTCTGACAGCACAGACCGAGGACGTCGTCGGTTTTCATTTGACAAGCGTCCTCCATATCACATCCCACAAGTATATGAGAGGCCTGGAAAATGTAACCGGATCCATTTCCTCCTCTACAAGAATTTCCAGGGCCAAACTACCGTGCCCTTCTTTCCTGGAACGTCTCTGTGTTGTTGCTGGTTGCATTTCAAAGTGTACATGATAAATGTACCACATCGAATAGACAAGCTGAAAGGCGATGGAGACACCGTTTGTCATCCTGTTCACGAGAACATTAAGAACTGATTGTTGTCAATAAAGGCTATATCACTCGTTATATATGTAAGTAAATGTAATGGAGATAATGTAAGTTGATAATGTTGACTCTGTGGTTTCCTCAGACTAAAACAGGAAACCGGGAATAGTAGAATACGATTCAATTCGTCCATGATTCTCTGTGCTCAGCCTTAACACCATCGCGCCCCACCCCAAAACCCAACCTTACCCGGTTACAAACAAATGACCGGCACCTTGATTTACAGTGTGAGTCATTTTCTCCTCATCTGCATGATCGGTCAAATGCTTATTACGGAAGGAAAAACACTATTTGGTCTGAATCGCTTGTCAGCATATTTTTGAATGATTAGAAATTTACCGTTGGGTATTTCTGTTCAAATAATTTGAAGATATTGCACATTGGATTCCTGAATTTAATCGACACTATTCGTTTGGCACCTTTTCGACTTCCCCTTTAGGGGCCTCGTGTTACATTTATAACGAGCATTTTTAAGTAGAGGGTTTGCTCTCCACATTAAGTAGATTCAGTATTATATGAGAGAAATGACAGACTTGATTTGATCATATGCTTCTATAATACGACTTATAGCAGTTGGTGACTCAACTAATACTGAATTTAGTCATCGTGAAAATGAGGCGTGAGCTGGAAAGCTGTTTACATAACACTACTTTTAACAGGTTAGTTTATTCGATCTGCAAACAGCTCACCTTTTACTAACAAAGTTGTTCAATTAAGCTATTTTTAAGGAACACAGTCGAACCAAGTCTAGGAACACTCATACAGACAGACAAGTGACATATTCTAAACTGGATCCGTACTGCTTAGTAGAAACAAACGCAAAAACGAATGAATGCTTCCCGAGCAACTTTGTTTAACCATTCAAACGCGGCTCATTAAGTACTCTTGTTTCCAGAATCTGCAACTGACGCGCGTTGTGCGGTACGCATTTTCATTGATTGCACTTTTCGAGCAGCGATTTGATCCGAACTTTGCTGTCGTCCCGGTTCCCTAAGGTCGGTATTGTACCAGAGCTCTTCATCAAGCGATACGGCAAACGATCTACGTGACGAAAATCAATTTCCATTTGCTCGACCCCAATTACGCTCGTAGAAAAAAATCATCTTGTATGTGCATGGTTTAAGTGGTCTTGTATATATTTTTTATGAATAAGTCACAGGTTGATTGTGCGCAATCATAGGCTGACCAAATGATCGAAAAGAGTCAGTCAGAGAGCCAAAGAGCGAGTGAGCGAGAGAGAGAAAGCCGGGCATGAGTGACTGAGAGCAAATCGGAAGTTGGTGAGTGATCGCTTCAGTTAGACAAAGCACAATGATGCGCACAAACAGGCTGATTGGTTTCGTGAGTGAGCGATTGACTGAGTGGGTGTATGTGATCTCATGGATGAATAAACTGCTGAGGACTGCAGTTTCTGATCGAGTGACTTATTGGTTGTTTGATTGACTGGTAAATTGATCGGATTGGGTGTCGGACCGAGTGGTAGACTCTCGGTGATTCGTTTGATGATCTATTCGGTGTCGGGTTTGCAGCAGCCAGAAAAAAAAACAGAACAAAAAAGGAAAATGGAAGAAATTGGCCAAAAAGGACATCACTATATATTGTAACGAGGAGGGTGGACTCACGAGTCGATTGGTTGTGATAGGTCATAGGTCATATTCACAAATGGAAAGTGTCCGGCGCATGAACGAATATGAGGTGGTTAGAACCTTAAAGGATGGAAATCTGGACAAAGGGTAGAAGATTGTTTAATAAGGAGCACATGATGCTGTTTTAATGAGACCAAAATGGTCTATACAAAGTGGCTGTCACATGAATTGCCGTTTCCTTCGTGAACTCAGTGCACGAGCATATCTTAATGCGAAATGGATAAAGGAAAACAGGGAGTAGGAACAAACAGCACTGATGAAGGATGAGTTGGCAACCGGGTGGGCGATTTCGTTGATGCCAATGGCACCGCGTTTACTTATTCGTATGATTTCGATCAGCAGCAGGCAAACGCAACCGCAAGGAAACCTGTTGGAATCTGTTTGATATGGGGGGGATGTGTGTTCATGCGTTTGTTTCATGATTGAGAAGGGGAAGCTGTACAGTTAATTTGTATGTGTGTCACTGGATCCCTTTCAGGTTGGATGAGATTCAGTCCAATTCGGGTTATTGTGAATAATTAAACAAAACAGAGTTTATTTCGCAATTGGTTGATAGTTTGGCGGCAGTCGGGTTGAAGCGGGAGTTTGATGCCTTGAGCACAATGCATTCTGAGTGATTTACCGAATGCATAGTGGCGTCAATAAACCTCGGAATACAATAGTATGACTAGGTCCCAGATCATTCTTGCTGATGAGAAAGGAAAAATATGCATGCATTCCGGGTCAAACAGAAAACAGGATAGAGGGAGAGAGGGTGGATAATGAACAATTGGGATTGTTGTCAATTACATGGCATTTACAAGAAGGAAGGGGTCGATCACTTGCTGGTGAGTGGACAGCATGTGGAAGGGACTATGTCCGATCACCCAGTCGGCAAGGAGGATTGTATACAGGGTAATAACGGACCGAAAGACCAGATGATATGTGAGTTTTTGTATCTCCAGGTTGTGTGAGCCTTGCTCGGAAACAGTTCGCTTGCGCGGAAAGAGAGAGAGAGCATAGGTGATTGTGTTGCAAGTCAACCAATAAAAATGAGTTAGGTCATGATGATTCAGCCTGGAGGACCCTGTTCACTGTCTTGTGTACAGTTATGTGATCAGTCTGGTTGTGTGGNATGATAATAGTGCTGATTGATAAGCACTGATAAGCATGTAGGACATGTCTGTCATAGTTGTGTACCAAATACCGTCCCCGGAACCGTTCGAAAATCAGCACCGGAGATATGATCCGTGCCATTAATCACATTCGACCGGTTCGCTGTGCTCACAGATACTCCTAAACCGTAGGAAGGTAAATCCAGTACTCGTGGTACATCGTACTCGTGACTGGAATAGGGTGAACCAGGCGCAGCTGGCCAGTAAGCTACCTGGGGCTGTCCGGGTGCTCGAAGATTGGTCATGCATGGTGAGAGTGCAGCTTCGGAGACCATGATTGGGCGAAGGGTATTTGGGTGTAATATTGGTGTTGAGGTAAGCATAGCCAAACTGGATTGAAAATCATCTGTACCGGAACTGGGGGATGGTTGATTCTGTGATAGCATCGAGGGTCCCATGTATGGAGCAGTCAAATGAGAGAGCTGAGCCAGTTGTGGTGACATGGATGTGTGATTTTCTATACCGGAGATTAAGACAGGAGGATAATTTTGCTTGGCCTGCTGTTGTTGTTGTTGCTGCTGCTGCTGTTGCTGTTGCTGCTGCTGCTGTGATTGTCCCAACAGAGGCTGTGTCGTATCTGAAGGAAGCGTAACCAAACCGTTCGTTCTGGATTGAACACTCTTTGGATCAGAGCCGCTTGCCTCACCGCGACCAGATTTACCGGCCAAAAGAGCTACTTTCGTTTCCGGCCCATTGATGGAACTAACACTGGGTGACAGACGGAAGATCGGATGGCGTTGACAAATCCGTATACAACGAGCCCCGACAAATAAGAGAATCAAAGTGCAAAGGAATGTTCCACCCACAGCCAAAGCCATTTGAATCAATGAAAATTGTGGTTGAAGCAAATAGTGCGGTTCGACAAACCCGACTTCTTCTTCACGTCTTACTGATCCTTTCGCGGATCCAGAACCCGAAAGAGAGGAGGGCACTACTTTGTCAATCTCTTTGCGGTCTACTAATGGATCACGATCGGATTCTCGGTCAGGTGCTAAAGTGGGACTCAAACGGGATGGTGGAGGCGGTGGTGGTGGTCCTTTCACTGTGACAACAACCTCTTCTGCATCTCGAATATCATCCCACGTAGCACAAGTGTACTTTCTAGTTTCAGGACTTAAGGATACGTTAAGCCGAACGGTGGAAGAGGCGAATGCAAGTGTAGCGTTATCAATATTCGTACCCGCATACTGCATTTCTGTGGATGCCCCCGCTTCCTCTGTCGGTAAGCGTCTTACCTCACGCAGATGACCTCCTTCCACATAACGCCATGCGACTCCGGGAGGATTGCGACTTAATAAACTAGGCACTGGCAAATTGCCTGTCCCCGTGAAGGCGGAATTCGGTTTGCGTGGAATGGCTACCGCTGTGCAGTCCAGAATCACTCTACTGGCACTATCCAAAACGTTAACTTCTATGTGCTGTATTCGGGAAGTGGGACACAATTGATCAGATGTAAGGTGTCGTATTTCGAGTACTATGTCACCAGGGCTGGCGTGGGAAACACGACGCTCTAGAGGTTTTTCACGATACACACAAGTCATGTTCAAACCGGGTAATGTACTACTCCAATCCGCACTGCGTTGCGCTATCCAAGCCAATTTGCAACTGCATTCCAGTGGATTACTGGTCAGATCTAACAAACGCGTATTTCGATCGAAGTGTTTTGCAAATCCGTCATCCAAGTGGCGAATCCGATTTTCGGAGAGAATCAACCGATCCAAGTCAGACACTTTGGCAAACAGTCGAAAACTAACTGTCTCAATGCGATTCCCACGTAAATTGATTTGATTAGCCGACAGTCCATGAAAGGCATCGTCTGCGATATGCAACCCATGCTCGGGTAAATTATGCTGTTCCTGTAAGTACAGATTAATTAACTGTAGACCGAGGAAAGTGTACGTGTCTAGGTGAATTAGAGCATTGTGGGAGAGATCCAAATGTTTCAATTTGTTCATGCCGAGAAACGCACGCGGTTCAATGGCCTGCAGATTACAGTAGATAATACGTAAATGTTCCAACTGTTCTAAACCGGTCAAATTGGAACGACGCAGATAGCTGGGAGCGGGAAAATCACCATCTTGAATATACAGTTTGGTCACTCCCGGTGGAATATTTGTTGGAACACCTTGAAGACGATCTTGCCTGTTACAATCGACCACCGGTTCACCGGGCGGACAGTGACATCGGACGTCACACAAATTCGGTTGAATGAACTGCGTTTCGATTAACCGCATCGTGCCCACGGTGAGTAGGAATAGTAACTGAGAGATGCGCAATGCCAAATAGCAACAATTGATTGACCAAATTGTCATTTTATCTATCCGTCCAAATATTCCGTTTAGGTAGCCGATCTGAAAACGGGGGGGGGGGGGNGAGAGAAAAGGCAACGATAAAATTCATTGGTTTCTCTTGATGTTCTCAAAAACAAGTACATTTTCTTATGGATAAAATTACTGAGCGGATATGGTTTGAATAAAGCACATTAAAATATGGTTATTTTGATGCCATTACCGCAGAAGACATCAAACTAGAGGCTTTAGAGAATCTTTTCCCCGACTGAAGACAGAAGCTGTTTCCCTCCTATCCATCTCCAGTGTTATCTGACGACCCAAAATAAAGGAGTTTATTAAATGGCCCAAACCGGTGATGAATCTCAGAATGAACCGATCTGAATGAGTGATAACGACCACCATTTTAGTACGCACAAAAACGTTGTTCAAAAATGTACGGGGAGAACCGGTCACCCTTCTTTGTCACACTAAAATGTTTACATCAAGCAAGAAAGTCCTGAATGTTTTCGACAACCCAGCTTTAAAACAGAGCTATGATTTCAAAACGTGTCCATATCCCTCTAGGATTGAGTATACAGGCATTGTCCGTTGACAAGTTTACCATCTTCTCAAAAGAAACGAGTTCCCCATTTGTCCATGCATATGGTGATTTCTTATATTCACGCGTGACATGTAGCGAGCTACATCACTTGGCTAAGGATGTCAAGGGTGTCGTTTATTGGATTATTGTGTATTTCTATCAAACACTAGCCGAAACTTTCACATCTCTATTTTTTTGTGCCTTTGTCTGCCATCTACCTGGCTGTTTGTCTACCTTCCTCCTTGCATGCCTGATAAACACATTTGCAGGTCAGGATACTGAGAAATTGCTGCAATGATTTCCACCAAATTCTTCGTTATTACGCTCAAGCCACGCTTCATGGTTTACGAATTATTCCCCCAGAACATTGTCCGTTTACACTTCAAACAACTGTCTTCCTGAGGAGAGCTAGTTTGTTCCTACCAAGAAATTGGGCATTCAACTGTCTTATGTGAGCGAAAGTTGAACAAGTGCGGGTTGGCACACCTAAAGGTCTCATGTCCGAAACATACCATGGCTACCAAACGTTAGCGCTAATTCAGTTCGCTGTTATTTCGGGTCACTAACACGCCCATCCAGTGAGTACTGTGCTTGCTTCATTCATCTTCCCGAGGTCCATGATCTTCAAACTGCGCAGTCCATAACCGAATCCTGAATTTTGGGAACTAACAGGTCATCGCAGATAGGTGGACAAAAAATATAGGGTGCAAGTGAGAACCAGCTTAAGGAAAAACAGATTAAGTCTTCCGTCTTATCCACAAAGAACTAGATACCAGAATTCCTAGTTCTGTCTATAGTTTTCTTCTAATTGAAGCTAGGAAATCAAAACCTTCTTTAACAGTAAACGTACGCGTCTACAAAACCGCAATTATAGGAGGTGAACAAGCATCCAGGCATCTATTCGCTGATAGAACATTCCATATGAGTATAATAGTCTCCATTCCTCTGTCAATCCATGTTCATTGCGAGGGGGGGAGGGGGAGGAGGAACCGCCAAAATTCTTGGTTATATTGAATGGACTACCATGATCAAGTGATTACGGTGACCATCACAACGCCTCAGAAACCAAAAAAATTGAATCATTCAACTTCCACCTTTCTTTATGTATCCCTTTCCCGAACGTTGTCTGTACAACTGTATATTCAATCGAAGGACGTAAAAAATATAATAAAGGATTATTTCCACCGGTAGAAATACAGTTCAAAATAGCGGTCCTTGGTAGCGAGACAGAAATAGGTTATACGAGGTTTAGACCGGGGCTTTTATTATTCGACGAATGATGTACTTATGTGGTCGGTATTCACTGTTTAGAATGTGAATTAAAAATTAAGTGATTAATCAAAATAATGCCACATTTGGGATAGATAAATCTCCCAAGAAATTCACGGATAAACAGCTCCTGGTGAATACCGATTTGCAGTTCTGTCACCCAAAATGTCGCTCTTAATTACGGTCCAAAATTCTCAACTCTTCTCACAGACAAAAGGGAACGGAGCAAGCGGACAAACAGTTCTGGGGTAAAAAAGACCGATTCACACAAATTCTATTCCCCGAAATGCACATAGGCACACGGAACAAACAACGGAATGCTTGGGTTTGTGAAGCAGGTACACAGCACTGGCACTCGGCGCTATTATCCCATGTGTGCCTTAGGAGAACCCTGCCCCGTTCCACGTAGACAGAACACCAGTTCTCGAAGTCGTAACATCACAAAGACGGTGGCGGCGACAGGAACAGGAACAGCCACAACGAAACGCATCACAATCACGCTCACTTTCCGTTGACCTGTTTCAAAGCCACGAATCCACAACCTCAAACAAGGAAGGTAGGTCTGGTGACCTCATGCATACACACACATACAGAAATATCAGACGTCTATCGCGATAAACACATTGTCGAACAGACGCCACGGGACAGATAGCGTGGTTAGACTGCCAGTGCGAGCGTAAATCCCACGGCATCCCCACTCCAAATGCATCATACGTTCACCCCTGCGGAAAATTTGAAACGAACCCATCCCCCCCACACAACTACCAATGTGTCTGTGATTTGGGCCTTCATCGAGAACCTGTATCACGCAAAGTCACAATCAACATAAAATTGTCCAAGTATTTTATCCGCGATTCTGCCCCTGCATGTTTCATGCATTTGGTCGCAAACTTGATTGAGTACGGTACCTGGCACTGCAGAATCTGCACAAGAATCTAACAGGTGTTCTATTTCGATCGTCGATAAACGTACCTTCATTGACTAGTATGTGATATGCACAAAGAACCCCACAGATAAACAATACCATTAAATACCATATAAATGCAATGGTTTTTTATTCGTCACATTTTTCAGTTGCCTGATTCACAATCACTTCAAGCGAGAAAATTGACTGGACGGATTGCATCACACGTGTCTATAGTCCTATTCTTATTGACACGGTAAACGGAGCAGATGAAAGTGCAAAGCAATCAACTAGTTGGAGCACGAACATATTTAGGAGGCAGCCAATTACAAAAACGTAGTGAGTTATTCAGTCAGTGATTAGCCCTGAGGTTCTCGACCGGATAAGTCTCTATTATGATATCGGGGAAAGTCCTTCGTTAGCTTGGGTATGCACTAAATACAAATGAAATATCGGCGTGCTTTTCCTATTCGTTTTATTTGTAACTCCTTTCACTTTCGTGCTAAAATTCTTCATACCTCGATTGATAACAACACGCCTCACTATTTCTATCCTAAATATTCACTTAGGAGCTGAAGTTTCAACATATTCCCTTCGGGTGTTTAAAATGTTTGTCACTTTGTTTCATTGTGTTTTGTTTCCTCCTAGATTTTAACGCTTTTCCCTTTATACGGGTGCAGTTTCTGCCAATGTACGAGAGGCATTAGAATGTTCTCGGTCTCTTAACTATCTCAAAATATACTGCATGGGACAGACGCCCACATGCACCACTCTAGAGCACCAGAGCAGTGGTAGAAACGAAATATTCAATCCTTTGTTCAGTTATGACTGGGGACAATCCACTCATCTCTGGGCTGAACGGCCTGTTGTAATCACTATTCTACCGTGGAACGATTAGCCATAAAGCAGCAGCGCGTTCAATTCAATCTCTCTCCCTCTGGTCAGTCTAACTGCTCATATTAATTTAATATCGGCTCCTGTGAAAAAGCGAAAAACGGATTCTTCTAATCTCGTCGCATTTTCCCCAATATATATATATATGTGTGTATGTATAATTTGATACCATACTATGATTTGATGTTTTGTAGGGGGA